TTGTTAAGCATTCAAGCTTAACTTTTAAATCAAAAGATTATTTTAAAAAAAGATCAATTTTTACTTTTGAAAGCTCTAAATCCTTTTTTAAAATTTCATTTTGATTTTCAAAATAAAATTGTTTTCAACTTTAAATTTTAAAATCATTTTCTTATATTTGGAGTTCATGGTCTCAAATTCCAAAAATAATTCATCATATACATCTTGTAACTCATTAAAAGAATATGAATTAGATTCACTAGAGTTAGAAGATACCTCGAGCTCTTCAAGAGCCATTAAACACACAACCTTTGTTGGTTATTCTTTGCTTCTAAAGATGTTTTCTGCTTCTATATAAGGATGATTTGAATATTCCCTTTGCTATCTATTTCTAGATTCTTTGGAAGCACCGATGCAGTGTCCTTCTCGACCCTGAGTACGTTCAAAGAGAGGATCTCTTAGCTCGTTGTAAGAGAATCGCTAATGAAGTAGTTGTTGGCCGAGCTCATAATAAGACAGGTGGACAATTTGGTTATTAATTCCCCAAAATGGTCGAGACCTCCTTTAGGCTGGGTCAAAGCCAACTCAGAATGGGCATTGAGTACCAATGATAAAATGACGGCAGCACGAGAGTTGGATTTATGGGTTTACACGTAGTTTAGGTAGATGTTCTGTTCTTACAGTCAAACTTTGGCAATTCACGACACTTTGGTTCAAACATTGAATCTTGGTTATAGAAAAGTGATCGTGGAAACAGACAATAAGGAGGTAACCAAGATATGGAACAGCACATCAAAGGCTCTTGTTAGAACTGCTTTTGTTGATGCCATCTATGAGCTTCGTAACCGTTCTTGGACTACTCAGATTTGCCATATTCGTAGAGATCAAAATGCTGTCGCGGACTGCCTTGTTGTCATGAGCCGTGGAGCCTCTATCGATGTCACTCATTTTTCAGAACCCCCGCTGGAGCTTCTACCAATTCTGTAGGATTCGTTGGAATATCAAGCTAGCTGTTGATATTCAGTTCTGTGTTATCAAAAAAAAAATTATTGTGTTTATGCCTATAATATGATTATTTTGTGTGTTGGTTGTCTCAATACATTACTTTAAATTTATTTTATTTGTTATTATATTCTCATAATTTTACTTTAAAATTATTTAATTTGTTATTGTATTCGCATGATTTTACGTTAAATGAATCTTACAGAAATTAATTTTTAATAAATATTGATATAAATACGTTTGTCTCTAAACTTTCAAAATATGTAACATATAATTTAGAGTCTTGAAGATATTCTTTTTATATCTATGAAATTATGTTATGTTAAAGATACATGTACTATGTTTATGATATGCTAAAATATGCTATGATTATAATTAATTGTACATAATTATATCAAATTATAGTTACTAACAATATGATATAGATTAATACCATTATAGGTAAATAAGTGAAGAAATGTACGAAGTAATATATTCGGATAAATAGAATTTGCTTGCGTATTATTGTATTAATAAATGTCAAATGAAAGTTTCTATGTTATTGAAAAGAGTAATGAAATAATCATGTTATAAGGAAAGTATGTGAAATATGTTACATGATATATATTATATATCATATGAGAACAGATTATTTTATTTTTATTTTTATTTTTGTCTTTATAGTTATTACTTTAATATTTAATTGATTAAATATAATTTATTATAAAATTATAAAATTATTGATGATGAGGACAAAAATAATAGAAAATATTATGTCAGTAGTATCGTTAATTTTTTAAGATACGACTATACAAAAATAAAATATAATATTAAGTATGATTTAAAAAAAATAGTTAATTAAACAAAATAAAAATGTGCGAATAGATTTGTTACCAAATATATAATTTACCCTTTCTTATGCCATCGGATTGTCCACCTGATGTTTGAGCCATCATTGACCCGGTCTAAACGTCCTTTGCTTAACGAAGATACGAAGACAAATAGCAAAAGTAACCGCGATTTCTCGTCTCGAGGGTAAAAAGAACCCAGTTTGAATCCATCTCCAGCAAAATCATCGTATAATCCAGGCCAGGAACGGTGTTGGTACAGTAACAACAAATCCACCAGAGACTATTCGCGAAGGTCGCCAACAATGGCGGCCAAACCCCCCAAAACTTCGGCTCCGAACCCAGGTAAACTGAATCCACGAGTTTGGTTTTACTACTCTTTGCTAGCTCTTCAATACGGAGTCCAGCCTCTTATCTCCAAACGCTTCACCAGGTCAATAATCTCCCTCCGAATGTCTTGATCTCTTAATTCTAGTTATTTGCTTTCGATTTCGCTTGTAATTAATAACCTGTTGGATTCGGTTTGATTTTTGAGTGATCATTTCTTTGGAATATGGTGGGAAAGTAGCGTGTCATGCGTATTTTTATTGGCATCAATTGCTCAAATGTATTCATGGTTGCTTATCTTAATGTGATCTTCGCGAATAAAGTTTAACAATGATGGTACAGGTTGAAATATAAATAGCGCTATAAAACATTCTATATATGGTGATAGTTTTACCAAAGTAACTCCTAAATAAAAGCTACATACATAAAGAATAAAATCTATGGATTAGATGCAAGAATCACTGAAATTCTGAAATCATTAATTACTAAGATCATGTAGAGAATAAGAGAGAATCAATATCAGTGAACTCTAGATCATGAAATGTCCAGGAAGATGTGTTCTACTGAATATGCCTGCAGTCTGATCAGCAGAAGAAACAAAGATAAGATGCTGTGTCCGATGAAACAAGATGTTTCACAATGTGTATGAAACACCTAAATCCTATAATAGCCAACTCAAGTACCTCAAAATTATCAGTAGAGAGGTTATATTCGGGTTTAGTGCTTGATCTAGCAATGACAGTCTTGCTTTGCCAGGAAATAAGAGAACTCATTAAGGATAACTAATTACCTTTGATGAGTCAAAGGATGTGCAGAACAATAGCAAAAATGTGTAGTATGAGGAGCTTCCGTATATTGACTATCAACATGAATTGCATAAAAGATGTAAATTGTGTGAAAATAAGATAAGTCTTTTCCAAGTTAATATCTTATTATAATTGATACTTTTTTCTTCTACAGAGTAGAAGTAATTGTAACTTCATTAGTCTTGACATGTGAGGTAGCGAAGGTAATATTACGAATGATTTTTCCTTTATTTCTAGTTCCTTTAGCATTTAAAAACATGAACTTGTAAGATCATTTGCTTTCGAACATGTTTACTAGGTTGTGTGTTCTCTTATTCTCATGGCAAGAGATGGCAGCTTAAAGAAACTGACAATGGAATGGACTTTGATGGGTTCACTTACAACATCTGGTCTTCCTGCAGCAATTTATGCACTTCAGAATAGCTTGTTGCAGATATCTTACAGGAATCTGGATTCACTTGCTTTCTCAATGCTGAACCAGACAAAAATCATTTTCACTGCCTTGTTTACATATATAATACTGAGGTATCTTTCCCAATGTGTCCTTTGTCTATCATTTTCTCCTTTTATTGTTCTCCATAGAAAGGAAATGCCTAGATTAGAGAATTTTGTACCGATAGTGGTTCCTATTAATGCTAGAAACTAGGTTTATGTTTAAATATTTTGCTCAGAATTCACCAATATGTTTATCTGCTTTGGAATTTGAGATTTCCAAATGATTTAATTATTAATTATAATTTGTTTCATGAATTTGATAGATCTTATAATTGTTTTTTTCTTTCTTTTTCAAAATGCATCTTTTAATCAAAACCATCATGACAAAGACATATAGCATTTATTGACTTGTTCAAAATAGTAATGATATTTTGGGATATGTGCGAGCTTATATGGTTCAAATTTTGGTTAACTATGTAGCCAGAGGTTGTCAATTCAACAAATTGGGGCTCTGTACTTGTTGATCGTCTCAGCTGTTCTTCTAAGCATTGGTGAAGGCTCTAGCAAAGGCTCCAGCAGTGGTGACCCTGAGCAAATTTTATTTTATGGAATTGTCCCAGTCTTAGTTGCTTCTGCACTCTCTGGTCTGGCTTCTGCATTATGCCAATGGGCTTCTCAGGTGAGAAGTCACCTATTTTTCTGCTTTAACTGAATGCTTCCCTATTTTCTTTCTGTTCCTTAAGGTTTTCTTTATTTCAGGTCAAGAAGCACTCACCATACTTGATGACCGTAGAAATGTCTATTGTTGGAAGCTTGTGCTTACTGGGTAGTACCTATAAGTCTCCCGATGGATATGCTATCAGACGCCATGGGTTCTTTTATGGTTGGACCCCACTAACTTTGGTAATACTATTTTATTTGAAAATTTCTCTTAAGAATTTTAGGGATGCTTTTGGGTATAATTAAGCTGGAAAAGGATAGAGTAAGGCTAGGTAGGGAATTTTGTAAGCTAAGACTGTTTTCTCTGTATTGGATGCTGTAACTTTATTTTGACAAGAGTTTTTTGTGTTAATTGCTATGGAACATGCATTCTAAAGTTTAAACACAATTGTCCTTTTTTTTTCTTCAGATTCCAGTTGTAGCCCATGCTCTTTGTGGGATTCTTGTTGGCCTTGTCACTAGCCTTGCTGGTGGCGTGAGAAAGGTAATCCCAACTACATAAAAGTAATAGGGAGTATTGAAGCCTAGAGTAAATTTTAAAACTGAAAAAGATGCAGGTCAACATGGGGGCTCTGAGTTCCATATAACTGTAAATCATCTAGAAAACAGAATATCAAGTTTAAATTCATTGACCTTCCTTCTTAATTAGTAATTTTACCAGTCCATGTAAAGAGCACAGATATCTTCGAGGGAGAATTAAAGCTAAAATCACCCTTCCCTTAAGCCATAAATATTTGTTGCCTGAATTTATTTTCTGTACCACATTATTTTCTTGAGGACACACGTCAACAAAATTTTCTCAAATGCATGCAGGGCTTTGTCATGGTTTCGGCACTTCTAGTAACAGCCATGGTGCAGTTTCTTTTCGAAGGAAAACCACCATCGGTTTATTGTCTCGTGGCACTTCCGCTTGTCATCAGCAGCATTTCGATATACCAGAAATATCCATACCAAGTGAAAAAGAAAGAAGCTTAATAAACGGCAGGTATGTAAGGGGATTTCTCAGAGTTGCCTGCATTATTCAAGTTTCAATTTGTTTTCCCAGCATGATATGTTTTAGGATTTAGTTATACTCAGTGGCTAATAGTATAGGCAAGGAAGAAGGCATATTATAGGTATACCTGCTTTCATGGACATTTGAATTTGAATTGATTCTGTGAAACTGGGAAGAGAAAGAACAAGCCTTTGTTGTATGGAGGGGAGTCCAAAATTGTATGAATTGTGAATTGAATAATGTTGGTGCATGTAATTGAGAAGTTATCATGGCTTGACTGACTTAATTGAACAGAGCAGTAAAAAGGAAATAATACCATTTATAAGTTGAGGTATGATTTAATATATCAACAGTCTCAATCAAACACACATACGTAACAGTCTCAATCAAACACACATACGTCTCTACTTGGGTGTCAACCTACTTCAATAGTCAAGACGAACTATCTCCTCTTTGGACTTCAGACAAAATAATAATCCTAACATGAAATTATTTAAATTACAAATCGATTCTCAAACCTTTCCTTCCTTTTCTTCTCCATTAACTTTTCTTTTTTTAAAATATCCATTTCCATCAATCATAATTATAAAAATAAGAACACAAATTTTCTTCCATATTCAGGTTTGAATCTCTTTCGTTTACAATAACAAATCGAGAGAAAAAGTTTCAAAAATGGCGACAGTGACCCCTCTGGCCAAATACAAATTGGTGTTCCTAGGCGATCAATCGGCTGGCAAAACCAGCATCATCACCCGTTTCATGTACGATAAATTCGACACCACTTACCAGGTAAACGTTTCCATTCTTTATTTTTGAACACTTCCTTGATTCTTACGGATTCAAACCAGATTTGACCGTTCCTTGAGTTCCTATATTTCGTACATTGTTTAAAAGTGAGTATTCGAGGTAGATATTGATCCCTTGAATTAATCACAGATTTAGTATCGTTTTTTGATTGCGTTGTTTATCTCCAACGAAATTATTTTAGTTTAGAAATGCTCGTTTCAATTGTATAGGAAATTATTATCTGTTTGGCCTAATATCTTGAAACAGATTTCTCCTCCTTTTTAGCTCATCATAATTGTTACAAATTCTTTGAATTTTTAATATCGTTACTTTAGGTCATAGAATATGTTACTTGACTGTTTATATGTTTATTTTCCTTTATTATTATTATTCTTAAGCTTTTTTCTTAAAGAAGAATTTGCTCATGGTTTTTTGGATATAAATCAATTGCAGGCTACTATAGGAATTGACTTTTTGTCAAAAACAATGTATCTTGAAGATAGAACGGTTCGATTGCAGCTTTGGTACTTCGGTTTCTTCCTTTCCCCTTTCTCTCTCATTAACAATGTAATATTGGATAACTCTGTTCAACGCCATATACAACTCTCCAACGGTTTCATAAATGTTGAATGAACGTAAGCACGATTCTTGTGAATTGAAGGACGTTGTTTTGATTGCTTATATAGATTTTAGACTACAAATTTGTTCCATAAAGCGCTTGCTTTTGTTGCGGCAGATATAATCTGTTGTCAGCTGAATCTCCCAGCATTTCCTCTTACATGCATGCAATTAGGAAATGTGACAACTTTATGGTTGGTTGAAATTTGTTATAACAATCTAGTCTGCCATATTCAGTTTCTGACGACCAGTTTTTAGGCAGCTATCTGTTGTTGAAAATGCATGCAATCATTGAAAGTGCCAAGCAAGTTGACATCAATAGTCAAGATTGGTAGGCATCGAAATTACAACTTGATTTTGTTGAAAAAATGGCAATGGTATAATTACAATTTAGTATTATACTTTAGGGTATTTATAAGATTAGTCCTTAAGCTTCAACTATAAATACCTAACCCATTTAGCTTTAAAATCATCCCAAATCATTCTAGCTTTCTCCCAATACTAGAGAATTTAGAGAGTTTTCTTGAGAGTTATTTCTCCATTTTGTCAAAAGAGAATTGTTATTGTTTTCATCTTGTTAGATCGAGAGAAATTGTAATTCCTATTTTCTTATAGTGAAATTCTTCTATCTTTGCCCGTGGTTTTTACCCTATATTATTTAGGGGTCTTCCACGTAAAATTTGTGTCTTCTTTATCTTCATTTTTATTTTCTCAAATTATCAGTTGCGATTTTGCTCTATCCGATAGCCGTATTCGGCAACAATTGGTATCAAGAGCCAGATATGAGTGTATAATATCTATTTATTGTCTTTGTGGTTGCCATCAAAAGGTGGATCTCCAACATAAGAAAGTAAGAAGATATTATTCATTCTTTGAAGGTTTCAGGGAACTATTCACGATAGTGAAATAGTGGGAGCTATCCGTAATAGAAGCTATGACAACGAAATTTTATATTGAAAAATTCAATGGGAGAAATTTTTCATTGTAGAAATTGAAGATGAAAGTCATCTTGAGGAAAGATGGTTGTCTAGCAGTTATCAGTGAAAGACCGATATATTTCACTTATGACAACAAATGGATTGAAATGGACGTGAATGCTATGACAAACTTTCATCTAGCATTAGCAGATGAAGTATTGTCAAGCATCGAGGAGAATAAGACATCTAAGGAGATATGGGATCATCTCACCAAATTGTACGAGGCCACATCGTTGCACAATAAAATTTTCCTTATGAGGAAATTGTACACTCTCCGTATGACATAATCTACTTCAATGACGGAGCACTTAAACACGCTAAACACTTTATTTTCTCAGCTTACATCCTTAAGATGTACAATAGGAGAACAAGAACGTGTTGAACTTTTACTTCAAAGTCTATCTGATTCGTATAATCAACTCATCATCAACTTGACAAACAGTAATGTCACCAGTCTAGTCTTCGATGACGTTGCAGCTGTTGTTCTACAAGAAGAAAATCGGCGCAAGAATAAGGAAGACAACAAGTAAATCTGCAACAAGCAGAAGCATTGACAACGATGAGAGGGAGATCAACAGAACGTGGCCAAAGCAACAGTCACACACATGGTAGATCAAAGTCGAGAAGCAAGAATAAATTAAAGTGTTACAACTGTGAAAAGAAGAGTCACTTGAATAAGGATTATTGGAGTCTAAATAAAAACTACAATCCACAAGACAATACCGCAAACACTTCAGATGATGAAGATGCTCTATGTTGTGAAGCGTCAACCACCGTGGAAGGTAGAACAAGATTTGCAGATATATGGCTCATTGATTCAGGAGCAACATATCACATGACCTCAAGAAGAGAATGGTTCCATCATTATGAACCTGTCTCAGAAGGATCTGTGTATAGTTGCAATGATCATGCCTTAGAGATCATTGGCGTGGAACCATCAAATTGAAGATGTATGATGGAACAATTAAAGTTGTTCGATGTGCGGCACGTGAAAGGCCTGAAGAAAAATTTATTATCCTACGGATTGTTGGATAATAATGCAAGCAAGATTGAAACACGGAAAGGAATCATAAAGGTGTTCCGTGGAGCACTTGTGGTGATGAAAGGCGAAAAAGATAGCAACAAACTTGTACATGCTAAAGGGAGATACTTTTCTAGAAGCAGAAGCCTTTGTTGCCTCATGTAGTTCAGATTCTGCAATGCTATGGCATCAGAAACTTGGACACATGTCAGAACAAGGAATAAAAGTTCTTGTGGAGCAAAAGCTACTTCCAGGCTTAAGAAATGTATCACTTACTTTGTGTGAGCATTGCATAAAAAGTAAGCAGCACCAGTTGAAATTCAACACGTCAAATTCTAGACGCAAAAGTGTTTTAGAATTAGTTCATTCTGATGTATGGCAAGCACCAGTTACATCCCTAAGTGGAGCAAAATACTTTGTCTCATTTATTAATGACTACTCCAGGAGATGTTGGGTGTACTCTATTAAGAAAAAGTTAGATGTGTTTTCAACTTTCAAAAACTTCAAAGCGCGAGTGGAACTCGATTCTGGAAATAAGATCAAATGTTTCAGAACAGATAATGGAGGAGAATATACAAGTGAAGAATTTGATGACTTTTACAGGAAAGAAGGCATCAAAAGATAGTTCATAGTGGCGAACATTCCTCAACAAAATGGAATGGAAGAGCGGATGAACAGAACCTTGTTAAAAAGAACAAGAGCAATGTTGAGGGATGCAGGCCTAGAAAAATCATTTTGGCTAGAAGCATTAAATACCGACTGTTATTTGGTGAATCGAGTTCCATCAACTGCAATAGAGCTAAATACACCAATAAAGATGTGGACTGGTAAACTAACTGATTATTCAAACCTCCATGTATTTGGAAGTATTGTGTACATGATGTACAACTCCCAAGAAATTTTAAAGATGGATCCAAAATCTAGGAAATTCAAATTCTTGGGGTATGCTGATGGTGTAAAGGGGTATCGCTTGTGAGATCCCACTGCCCGCAAAGTGATCATCAACAGGGATGTTATCTTTGTAGAAGATAAACTACAAAGAAAAGAAGACTATGATAGCATTGAAAAGTCAGAGACTACACAGATACATGTGGAAAAGAATGTTGAACAAGAAAATTCTTCTGAAGCAGAACTAGCACATGATGAACAAGAACTAGAGAGTTCTGAAGCTCCAACAACTCGTCAATCAGATCGTGTGAGAAGTCGTCCCAATTGCCACTCAGATTATGTTATAGAAGGAAATATTGCATATTGTCTTTTAACAGAGGACGATGAGCCATCAACATACCAGGAGGCAATAAATATCTCAGATGCTTTACTGTGGATGATGGCGATGCAAGAAGAAATTGAAGCCCTTCATAAAAATAATACATGGGACCTTGTGTCACTACCACAAGGAAGGAAGCCAATTGGTAACAAATGGGTCTTCAAAATCAAGCGAAATGGTGACAGTCAAGTTTAGAGGTATCGTGCAAGACTGGTGGTCAAAGGATATGCTAAAAAAAAGATATTGATTTCAATGAAATTTTTTCTCCCGTGGTTCGACTAACAACAGTTCGAGTAGTCTTGGCAATGTGTGCTACATTGAACTTACATCTAGAGCAGCTAGATGTTAAAACAACTTTTCTTTATAGAAATCTTGAAGAAGAGATTTATATGCTCCAGCCTGAAGCTTTTGAAGAAGACGAAAAAAAGAACTTGGCTTGCATGTTGAACAAATCTATGTACGATCTAAAGCAGGCGCTGAGGTGTTGGTATAAGAGATTTGATTACTTCATTATGTGCCTTGGATACAACAGACTTAATGTAAAACTGTGTTTATTTCAAGAGGTTTGTGATAACGATTTTGTTATATTGTTGTTGGTTGCATGACCCAACAAAGATCATATTGAAGAATTGAAGGCACAACTGGCTAGGGAATTTGAAATGAAGGACTTGGGATCAGCAAACAAGATTCTATGGATGCAAATTCATCGAGACAAAAGTAATAAGAAGATTTTGATTTCACAAAAGAATTACTTGAAGAAGATATTGTCACGATTCAATATGCAAGATTGTAAGCCAATTTATACCTATCTTCCTATTAACTTCAAATTATCCTCCAGTATGAGTCTTAGCAGTGAACAAGAGAGGATGAAGATGTCTCGAGTGTCGTATGCATCAGCAGTGGAAAGTTTAATGTTCGCTATGATATGCACAAGACCAGACATTGCACAAGCAGTAGGAGTGGTTAGTCGGTACATGGCGAATCCAGGCAAAAAATATTGGAATACAGTAAAGATGATTCTCAGATACATCAAAGAGACCTCAAATGTTGCATTATATTATGGAGGATCAAATTTACTTATCAATGGGTATGTTGATTCTGACTATGCAGGGGATTTGGATAAAAGCAAATCTACTACATGATATGTGTTCAAAATTGCTAGTGGAGCTGTAAGCTGGGTTTCAAAATTGCAGTCATTTGTGGCTACATCCACAACAGAGACAGAATATGTAGCAGCTACACAAGCCAGTAAAGAAGCAATTTGGTTGAAGATGCTATTGGAGGAGCTTGGGCACAATCAAGAGTATGTCTCTATGTTTTGTGACAGTCAAAGCGCCTTGTATCTAGCAAGGAATCCAGCAAGGAATCCAGCATTTCATTCAATGACAAAGCACATATGAGTTCAGTACCATTTCACTCGTGAAAAGGTGGAAAAAGGGACGGTAGATATGCAGAAAATCCATACCAAATACAACATAGCAGATTTCATGACGAAGGCAATCAATGCTGATAAATTTACCTAGTGTCGATCCTTTGTGGCCTGTCAGAAACGTAAGCAACATGAAGGTATAAGGTAGAAAGAATGGTGTGAATATATAATTGTTTCAATCTAATCTTCAAGTGGGAGATTGTTGAAAATGCATGCAATCACCGAAAGTGTCAAGCAAGTTGGCATCAATAGTAAAGTTTGGTAGGCACCGAAATTACAACTTGATTTTGTTGAAAAAATGGCAATGTATAATTGCAATTTAGTCATTGTACTTTAGGGTATTTACAAGATTAGTCTTTAAGCTTCAACTATAAATACCCTAACCCATTTAGCTTCAAAATCATCCCAAATCATTCTAGCTTTCTCCCAATACTAGAGAATTTAGAGAGTTTTCTTGAGAGTTATTTCTCCTTTTTATCAAGAGAGAATTGTTATTGTTTTCTCCTTGTTAGATTGAGAGAAGTTGTAATTCCTATTTTCTTATAGTGAAATTATTCTATCTTTGCCTGTAGTTTTTACCCTATATTATTTAGGGGTTTTCCACGTAAAATTTGTGTCTTTTTTATCTTCATTTTTATTTTCTCAAATTATAAGTTGCGATTTTGCTCTATCTAATAGTCGTCTTCCGCAACATCTGTTTGGTTGGAGTATGTTTACAGCATGCCAATTAATCTAATTTATTGGCTTATAAGTTCATATGCTCTTCAAATTTTCAATTGTCCCATCTTCAATTGAGTTTTATCTTAAAATTTCACAAGGGATACTGCTGGCCAGGAGAGATTCAGGAGTCTTATTCCAAGTTACATTAGAGATTCTTCTGTGGTAGTAATTGTCTATGATGTAGCTAGTGAGTATATTCTAACCCAATTACCCCTTTTTTCTTCTCATTTTTGAATTCATTAGATGAAAGACTATAATGGAAAGATTTTATATGAGTGATACCGCTGGTAAACAACCCTCCCATTATAGCCACTTCCATTACTCGGATATGTCCTTATAGATAGGCAATCGTTTTTGAACACTTCTAAATGGGTCGAGGAGGTACGCATGGAACGCGGAAGCGATGTCATTATTGTCCTTGTTGGGAACAAAACTGATCTTGTTGATAAAAGGTCAGTATTGAGTTTGAAAGCTCAACTTTTAGATCTGTTTTCGATATCACTGGTAGTTGATGATCTTATTTGCTTTGTTTGGTACTTTGAGAGGGTTTAACACAAAAGCTTTGAGTAATTCTTAATGATGTCTCCGTTTATGCCGTTTGGCGATTAAACAGGCAGGTTTCTAGAGAGGAAGGAGATAACAAGGCTCGTGAATTCGGAATTATGTTCATTGAAGCCAGCGCAAAAGCAGGATTCAACATCAAGGTAAAAAACAAAAACAAAGCTATTTGATAGTTGTAAATATACATATACACATACACAAACATAGGGTTGTAAATGAGACGAAACAAATCACGAGCTACTCGAGTTCAACTTGATCAAAGCTCAGTCAACACTTGAATTGAATGGACTCAACTCAAGTTCTTAACGAGCCACAAAACGAGCTACTTGATACCCGACTCGAAAACATGTGAGCAACTCAAAAAAAGAATATATTAAATTTTTATTTTTAAATTGAATTATTAATAATATTAACATTTATATGTTGTTTTTTTAAAGAAAATATTATATTCCATGTACTTAAAGTTTAGGTTCAAGCTTGAACCGAGCTCGAGTTTGAGCTTCAATCGAGTAAATATGAGAATACTTTGAGTTCAAGGTTTTTCGAGCTCGAGTGTAATTTCAATTTTTGATTTCAAGTCGAGTTTGAAATTTTTAAGCTCACGAGCTTTCCAGTCAAGTCGGGTTTCAATTTTTGATTTCGAGTTTGATCGAGCTTGACAATTTTAAGCTCGCGGACTTTAGATTCCAACTCAATTTTAAATTTTTCGAGTCGAGTACTCGAGCTTGACTCAGTTGCTTTACAGCCCTACATACATTCAGATAGATATACATATTTGTTAACTTCCCAGTTTTTATCATGAATGTGAAATAGCAGCCTCTATTCCGCAAGATTGCTGCAGCTTTACCAGGGATGGAAACGCTTTCTTCAACGAAACAGGAGGACATGGTCGATGTGAACTTGAAGTCGAGCGGCAATTCATCCCAGAATACAGAGCAGCAGGGAGGGGGTTGTGCATGTTAAACAGGAAATGTGTTCACTAAAGAAGAAAGGAACCATTCAAGCATTTTTACTCGACCGTCAAAATACACTAGTAAACTTAGCGAGCACGGTAAAGGTTTGTCATTCATTTTGTCTTTCGTAGCAAGTAGAGCTCTAACTATTTTATGTGCCCAGGAAAACATCTTATAGGATAGTCATTCATTGGGATTGGGTTCTTTAACGTTCATAATGTTTTATACAAATTATTTGTTTTTATATTATTTTTATACAGATTCTTTTCTATATAAATGATACTGAAAATGGATGTATATTTGGATTCTCCAACTTGTACTTTTTCTCTCTTTGAAGTATTAATATTTTGCAGAGTCCGATTATACGAGTGTTATTAGTCACGACGACACGGAAATATTATTCATGTTCCTTGAGAATACCATTCATCTCAAATATTAATGTCTCATAGCTGAACTATTTATAATAATAAAATTATTTTACTTTAAACACAAGACTTGTTATGTATTGATTATTAATAAATTAACGATTTTTATTTAATTACGGGTCGTTAATTATTTTACCTCGAAATAAAATATTAGAGAATCAAAATATTGTATAAATTATGGATTAAAGTAACTATTCAACCACGAGTTAGGATATACGTTAGCATTATACCTAAGTAATATATATTGTTGTGGATAAGGGATATACTTCTAAGTTTTCGAGTTCGAGTCGAGTTGAAATTTGAAATTTTGAGTTATTCGAAAAATCAGAAATTTGACTAAGTATTTTGATAGTTTTGCAATTTAGTCATTCATTTCATTATTCCTTCAATTTTTCCTTCATTTTAAGTTTATTGTTCACCAAATTTAAACCACATACTCCTAAACCATCGTATCATACATACGTACTTTCAATTCCACTTTTCTATAACAAATATTTTTATTTTTCAAATTAATCCCTTAATTGTTCATAATTTATGTATTTCTTTAATTCATCATTTATTTTAAGTCCATAAATTTGAACCACATGCTCATATACCACAATAGAATACATATGTAACTTCAATCTTACTTTTGTACTAAAAATGTACTCTCTTTTTTTATTTAGTCCCTTAACTTTGCATTTTACTCAATTTGGTAATTTGACTACAATTGTTTGCAAATTTTTTCTTCACTTTAATTCTTTAACTCCTTTAAACTCTCATCAATATTTTACTCTCAAAATACTTTCTTTAAAATAAAATATTATGAATATATTTTATAATTTTAGATTGTATTTGATATATTAAATTACATTATAATATGAAAAGAATATAATATATATATACATATACATATTTCTTATATGTTTAAAGAAATTTAAAAAATTAGAACAAATCCTTGTCATAATACTATAAATAATTATAATAAAATTAGTATAGAAACTCGAATAACTTGACTCGATTCGAAAAATTTTCAAGTTAAGTTTGAGTTGTAAAATACTAAAATACGACTCATGAACTCGAATAACTTGAAATTTTTTTACTCGACATGATCGAATGCTCACCCCTAAAGAGTAACATTCTCTGTTTTTCTTTATTCTATTTTTTTATTCTTTATACATCAACAAGAAGTCGAATGACTTGGTTGAGGATTAGCTGAAGCTAGAAGAAAAGGTTTTTCCTTTCTGATTCGTCCATCCACTGCAGTTGTATCATATCCATCACTGATAGTGATTATTTGATGAAACAAATCATGCCAGTTAGTGGTTAAGACCAATAAACCAATCACCGTTACTGAATCGACAATATAATTAGAATGGTTGACCGCCAGTTAAATTCAGTCAAACAATCAATCGAATCTAGCATCAAAGTTTTTTTTTTTTTTTTGATAATTCAATTTTATTACCCAAAAACATAAAAATCTGCTACAGTAAACAAAGACAGTAAACAGCACAATAGCAAAGCAAGGTCAGTACTTGGGTATTGAGAAAATCCAAGAAAGTGAGACCTTTAGATTTTCTTTTTCTTTTTCTATTAATATCATGTTACTGGAAACAGATATCTCATGGCTTACTCGAAGAATAATGAAACACATTGAAGATAAAACTAATCTGTCAAATCATCATCAAGAAAATCAAGGCCATCATCATCAGTGGTAACACCTCCGACAGAAGGGATAATATCCACTGGTTCAATAAAACCAGCAATTGTGACCATTTCTGTAGGTCTCTTTTCTTCACTCTCGTATTCAACCATATCATCTTCGCAAAATTTTCCGCCTCATTATAAATGATCTCCTCATCTTCTGGCATGGCTATCTTCTGAGTCTCCACAAGCTAGTCATCCAGTACACTTTCTAACATGGAACTGTCAAAGGAAACCAACTCATCAGGCTTCCTTCCTAGTTGGCGTTCTCTCAGTCTCAAGTTATAGTGGACAAAGGTCTGGTCACTCAATCTCTTTCGGGACAAACAGTTGCGTCTTTTGATGTGAACCTGATCAAATGCACTCCAGTTATGCTCACACCCAATTGATGAACATGTCTGGCTTAGTATGCGTATGGCAATTCGTTGTAGCTCTAAGCAGCTTATTCCATGTTGCTGCCAACATGAAGCTGGATCAAGTTCGTTTCTAGTACTTACGGCCAAATCAGTTCCAAAATCAGCTTTTGCTTACACAAAATCAGGTATCTGCATGGATGCAGAAATTTTTTCCCCATTGTCTGCCTCCAATCGAACAATACACTCATTTAGACCTTAAGTACTAGAAACTGTAATTATTTGGATTTTATTTTGGATTTTGGAAATTTCGTCTGATCGTGCATGGGCTGTGAGTTTTAAAGGCAGACTGTAGTAAATATAGAAGAGATGTAAGAGACGCAAAATTGTAAATGAAGGACGATATTGAGGTCAGATTAGATATAAAAATATTGTTCAACAATCTAACTGGTATTTTAGCAAAATAGTTTAAGAGATAAATTAGATATTATTTTTTTCTTGTTTTTTAATAGTATGAGGTAATATATATTTATAATTTTTTAATCTTTGATAATGTACATGCAATTTGTATACGAAACTTAAAATTTTAAGAAAAAATAATATTTTTTTAACTATTTTGTTATAAATAGATACCGATTATAATTATTTTGTAATTTTTTAAACTTTATGGTGAAAACAAATATACACTCAAATGTTATGACCATTGTTTAGTTTAACCCCCTTTTTTTTCATTGGAAAAAAGGAGGATAAAAAAAACCTTATCTATAATCTATATTCCGAGTGCTAAAACTCTAGAAAGAAGCGAGCTTACACTTGCAGGGGGATAGAAAGCCACGAAGATAAAGCTGAATTCGAAGAAGAAAAAATGTTGAGCGTCTCAATTGCTTCCCCAGCAACCTTAACTTTCTCTCCAAAACCCAAATTTTCAATCCCGAAGACCTCCTTCACCGGCGTCAGGATCCAGCACCTATGTCCCCAACGGTTGCCTTCTCAGACGACATCGTTTCGAAGACCGTCGGCTTCTTCTTCGGTGGTAATGATGGCGAAGCGAGAAGAAGAAATGAAGGAAATAAGAGCCAAAACGACCGAGGAAATCAACGATGAAGTGGTTGAGTTGAAAGGAGAGCTTTTGATGCTTCGTCTTCAGAAATCGGTTCGTAATGAGTTCAAGTCCAGCGAATTTCAGCGTATGCGCAAAAGGGTATCCCCCCCTACACGCGCATTCTATTGTTTTAAATGTTTTTCTCTTAACATTTTAATTGAAGTTCGAATGGGATTTCAGAATCTGGGTATTACTTTAGTCATAATTTAAGATATGGAGTATCAAATGAAGGGATATTTCAGTTCAAAAATATCACAATTTTAATATAGATAGGGCTGGTGAATTTTGCTGAGAACAGAAATGTCAATTTTTATGAATCTCGTAAAAATGTCGTTGAAAATCCGAAATCTAAATTTTGATTGGACGATGCAAGTGGCGATGATAGCTATATTTTGCTTACTCGATAATACAGTGTAATCGCTGCTCACTGAAGATAGAAAGTTTTATGGAGTGTTGTCGGTGCAGTTCATTTTCGTCTATTTGTAGAAAATTTTATGTTATGAGTAGCATAATCACGGTCATCTTTTCTAGGTATGCATGTAAGTGTATGTGGATTCATTCATCACTTTTTTTTCGCTATTACATTTGGTTGCTTATAAAGCTTTTCAAGTTTTATTAAGTAGGTTGAGACTTGAGAGCTCAACTGCTTCTGTGTTTTTTTCCTCTCAAATTCTGGGCTGCTTTCTTTTGTCTGTGTTGTTTATGGAAACCAATTGTTCTTATTGCCAAATGATCCTCTTATGAAGTTTAGAAGGAAAGTAGTATGATTTAGGGCTTGGGAGGAAAAGGTGTTAAAACTTTAAGTGGATGAAATATTCAATTATTCATGGAAATCATGCCTTGTTTGAAAGCTTGGGGGGGGGGACTGTTGGCTTCCGTAGGTTGGTCTTCATGTATTTGTGGCCTTTAGTTGGTTACTTGTTCTGTAATTATTGTTTCTTTGTCAAACCGGAATTATTCAATGTTGAGAGAGTAAGAGGATGGCCAAAGAGGACATAGAACCATATAGGACAGAGGTGTTTATGGCTTTAAATGCTGGACAGTGTTGGAAATATGATATGTATTTCTTTAAGGACTATGGAAAAATCTGGTTGTTGTTCTTGTCAATGGAGCGTCAAGTTTTTGTGGTTTTATTTGTATTATGGTTGTTTTAGCCATTGTCTTTGCTAGGTATTTTGATTATGCCAATTTCTTTCTATGCCTGGGCTTCGGGCTCAGACTTTTCAGGGCCGAAGATGATAACTCTAAATATTGAGTGGAAGCAGAGATTAGCTAATGTTATGGCAGTTCACTGATCAAATATCAGGATCATTGTTTGGCAAATTAAGAGCACTATATGGACTTAATTTTAGAGTCCCTTTGCCATTATTTTCTATTGGTCTCCTTAGTGACGAGCTATGCTTTGGAATATGGTTGGGATGTATACCTAGCCGAATCCCCCAATTTTAATTCATTTTGATTTTGCCCCTCTCCCCCCCTAACTTTCTGTTGTTAATTATACTTTGTCTCCCCTGACTTGATCCCTGGGTATACTTATTATATTTAACAATAATGGTATTACCTTTCCATTGTTTGAGGAGCAGAGATGATGGTAAAACAAAAGCATAAAAAGGTAACCTTTAAACTCCTTAAACTATGATAGAGAAATATGACAGTAACCTGAAAATTTTGCCTCAGCTTCATGCTACTCAAATTAATGAATGCCGATATACCAATAGTAGTCATTTAGGTGTGTGGTAGAGAGAAGGATGTCTTCGGTTTAATGCACTACTACCGAAGCATAAACGTGCTGTAGGCCCGATATTTGTCAAGATAATTCTGACTGCACTTGAGCATGCTTCCTTCATTTGCATGTTGTTGTTAATTCTGATAGTTTTATATCCAGTTCTAGGTTACATTGCACAAGAAAGAGACGGAAAAACAGATAAACATTGATATGCTTGTCTTGAGGCATTGTAAAGCCACATCTGAAAGCCTTCTTATACATGATACTCCTTAAGGGTCTCCTTATTTCATGGTTAACTTTTTGCCCCTATACTTGTTCTGTCTAACTTTTTAATATGTACGAGGCTTCGGAAACCAAACTTTAAAATTTGTTTAATATATGGCTAATATCTCTATTCCTTTGACATGCTATTGGTATTGCTTGATTTTTTTAGATGATTGTAGTTTTATTTCACCATCCAAAGAAGTAGAAAAGTTGCTGCCACGAAGTTTTCAAGCTGAGAATGCCTAGAAAAAACAGCTAGTTTGGCTGGCTTTTACACTACTTATTCTGTGCATGCTCCAGGCACAAAATTAAAGTCTGACCTTTAGTTATGCGTTATTGGTCTCTTTTGTGAAGATAATAGTAGTTTTACGATTTTATTTGAACTTTGAGTATGATATTGCGATAACGAAGAAAGTGTTGTTTTTATAGATTGCACGCATGCTTACTGTCAAGCGAGAAAGAGAGGTGGAGGAGGGCATCAACAAGCGATTGTCGAGAAAGCTGGATAGGCAGTGGAAGAAAAGCATTGTTGTGAAACCACCCCCATCTTTGATCAAGTTGAGAGAGAAAGAAGCAGCAGAAGAAGCTGAGAAATCTGCTGCTTGAATGAAACCACTCATATATGCTTTGACATTTTCATGGCTTGCAGTTTCTAACTTTTAGAACCGTTTTGTAGGAGCATTTATTTTATACTATGTTCCAAGAAAAGGCTTTTAAGAAATTAAAACTCGTTTTATCTATGATTTAGAAAACAAGTAAGCATTGCCTTTCATTAGAATCGAAGGATTAATTTTCGTTGACAAATATAAAAAGTTTTGGTGAATGATTGTTTAAAGTTCAGGCTGATTAGGGGTGATAATTGAGTTGAGCAACTTGTGAGCAATTTAATTTGACTCAACTCGATACTTTCATGAATCGAATGAAGTAAGGACTAATTTAATTCGACGAGTTCTCAAACAACCAGTTACTTTTTTATATAATTTTTTAAGATATTTAATTGTCTTTGTTTTTAAGATTGATTATGTATCGTATAAGTTTTTTTTTTCAAGAATAATTGTAATATGTTGGTTTGGTGTGTTTGTGGATTGTTATATTGGTTGTGATATGTTAATTCGGTGAATTTGTGGATGTTGTTTTAGAGTTTAGACTTTGGAATTGCTTCACACGTTTTTTTGATAATGTTTATTTGTTAATTTTGTTAATTTATGTTTTTATATTAAGCTCCATATAGTATTATTAGATTTTACATATATTTTAAAATAAAACAAATTTTGACGAGCTTAACAAGGAACGAGTCGAGTCGAGTCGAGTAATGAGTTTTTTAATGAACGCAAATTGAATAAAAATTTATCGAGCTTATCAACTCAAGTAGAGTACAAGTCAAACAATTTTTAAGTCGAGTCGATGATTGCTTAGCTCGTAATCAACGCGATCGATCCCTACCCGATCATGCGGGACATCAAAACTGAAAATGATAATGTTACTAGAGTGGCAATTATTGGTGACTCCGTTGTAGCTGCTGTAATGATAGTTTTTGTATTACTGACTTATCTCCGAGCGCAAGTTAAAGAATTTCATGGAAGAAGTGAGGCAGGTTTTGTCGACCTTGTGTTTTGAAATTCCACTCAAATGTTGAGGCTCCACAAACTTGGCTGAGTTATTCAAATGATGACTTGCTCACTTCAAAATCTAGTTCATTTTGTGGACATCAATAATTTGTTGTTGGCTGAAGCTACTCTGCGTAATGGTCATCTGTTGCTTGTAGGCCTGATTTAAAATGAGAGAATTTGCCGAACAAGTTAAAAAAGAGAGGATCTGTAAGGCATCCTAACTTTGTTCCTGGGTCCAAGGGAACAGGAGAGGCTTCTCCTAGCTGATTACATTCATTGTTATAAATCAATAATCCCACACTGACTGAGGAAGAGAAGGGTCCAGGAGCTTGAGTTAATAAATAAGAGGCAACTACCAGCCTTGAAACATACTTACCTGGACGGGGTCAATGGGTGATCAACAAGACTTAAGGCCTAGGTTAGCGACCTCCATTGCACTTGGGAGGGGTGCTCGCCTAAGGTCTCCCCAAAGTGGGAGAGCCTACGTCATAATTTATTGCAGTGGGGGCTTGCGTTCGCGCTGCCCCCTTCCAGTCTTAGTTCAAAAGTTAATTGTGTAAGTCCAACCTTAATGTTTGGGTTCTGCTTCCAAATTGATACTTGGCAGGGCTTTCAAAATGTTGAAGAACTTAAGAATTAGCTGTCCTTTCCACAATTTCCTAAGCCTTTTCAATTGTGGCCCGAGTCAGATCAGTAAAAACTACATCGGTTCAAAAAAGCTGGGAGGACCATTCTCCTACAGGAAATTCATCGAAGATGGGCATTGTAATTATGAATCTATACCCTTTGTAGCTGCCAAGAATGCCAATCTGATTCCCGTATTTCCACACATTTGCTCGACCAGAATGGACGCCTGTGATGCGTTGGCTACGATTTTATCTTTGTTCCAAGAGACCACGTACTTTGCAAAATCTGTTCTAATGTTCTTTCCCAAAGGCTCGACAATTTGATGAAAAAAGTTTTCTATTATGACATGGGTGCCTACTGTCAAGCCATTGGCACACGCTTAGTCGAGTGTTATTACTCCTTTGTTCAAGATTTAATTGACCCCATCTCTCGCTAAAGGAACTTTGAATCTTCTTAGACCAATTTCCGACTTCCAAAGAGGATAAAGTTCTTAAAAAGACGTATGATAGATTGACAAGTATTGCAGGGAGGATGATGACAATGATCGGAGACTTGGGAACTCCAGCTTAGGGGCTTAATTCTATGCTAAGTTGGTGAGATCCCATAGCTACTTCACTGTTCATGGCCTTTTGTTTAATCGCTTGTATAGCATTCCATCTTGTTCCTTGTCGCTTATTTGCACTTGGATTTGGCTTTTTCGAGATGAGGCATCCTCAATTCCGAATCACCGTTCCTTCATTGCCCCAAAACTTCTTCAAAAGATTGCCTGCAAGAACAGATAGTATGTTTTGAGAAGGAAAGATTGCCTGCTCGATGTTCAAAGAAAGTCATGCAAATTCTTTGCTTTTACTGTTTTGCCTGTATACTTGGGATGTCATCTTGAACAAGTTTCACCATTTAAACCTTTATTTGCGAAGTTCAAATTCTAGTGCAAGAACCACAGTTCATTATCTTTATATCAATATTAAATGGTTTGATCCACAGGGCAACTTGGGCATTTGGTCTAGTGGTATGATTCTCGCTTAGGGTGCGAGAGGTCCCGAGTTCAATTCTCGGAATGCCCCATTCTCTTCTATTTTGATTCCTTGGGAAGTACTCTTTTTTGGGTGAAAGTATGTTTCTAATTCCTCTTATACGATTTCAGTTTTTCTTCCATTTTAATTGCTTGAAAACCCACAATTTGAAAATCTCAAAACACCTAAATTTAATATCATGATTTCTATCCCTTCCTTTCATTTTTTTTAATTTACTTTTAAATTAGGCTAATTAAATTGAATGATTAACTCAAAAGTTAGTTGGATTCGTAATTTCATTTGTTATATTAACGATCTCTCGCGAGTAAACGAGAGTATTTGATCCAGTGGAATTGAATTAATTTTTTTTAGTTAATTAAGTTATCGTTTGGTGATTTTCTAAAAATACTTTTAGCTAAAAATCCATCTAACCGTAAAATCAATACTAAAAGAGTAAAAATGAAAAAAAAATACAGTGAAACGGCGGTTTCAAACTAACCGCAAAGTTATGATTTCAAGTGCCCCATTCTCTTCTATTTTGATTCCTTGGGAAGTACTCTTTTTTGGGTGAAAGTATGTTTCTAATTCCTCTTATACGATTTCAGTTTTTCTTCCATTTTAATTGCTTGAAAACCCACAATTTGAAAATCTCAAATACACCTAAAATTTTAATATCATGATTTCTAATCCCTTCCTTTCATTTTTTTAATTTACTTTTAAATTAGGCTAATTAAATTGAATGATTAACTCAAAAGTTAGTTGGATTCGTAATTTTATTTGTTATATTAACGATCTCTCGCGAGTAAACGAGAGTATTTGATCCAGTGGAATTGAATTAATTTTTTTTAGTTAATTAAGTTATCGTTTGGTGTGATTTTCTAAAAATACTTTTAGCTAAAAAATCCATCTTGACCGTAAAATCAATACTAAAAGAGTAAAAATGAAAAAAAATAACGGTGAAAACGGCGGTTTCAAACTAACCGCAAAAGTTATGATTTCAAGTTTTTTTTTTAATTTTTAACTTTGCGTTTAAAAGCAAATTATAATTTTACCTTTACTAATACATGAGCTCTATTCAATTATGTATTTATATTTTAATATTGATATCCTTAAAAAATAATTTATTACTTAATAATTTATTGTAATCACTTAAAAATAAATAAAATTCATGGTTTATATATTAAAATATTAATAGTGAGTCATTATAAAATATGTTTTTATTATAATTCTATTTTTTATTATAGTTTAAATCGATATATTTTATATATAATAATAATTTCTCAAACAGTTAAATTTATACTTACTTTATCTTTTTATACATAATGTCTATAATGAACATTTTATCTTTTCAAATTCATTTTTTAAACAATACTTTTAAAAGTTCTTTTCTGCATATTTTAAAATTAACTTTTCAAAAGCCTTGTCAAATTTGTCTTAAATTGACAAGTCTTATTTTATCTTTAAAATTTATTTTAAATTATTTAATTGTGTCAAATTATATATATTTATTTGAGCTTGATTAAAATTTTAAATAAGTTAAAGATCAAACTAGAGAGTACGCACACACATATATATTTGGATAGGATCCTCTTAAACCCAATGTAAAACTCTTTTAGTTTTACACATATTTAGGACCGTTGAATGAGTGAAAATAGATGACTAAGATTAAAAGTAGGAAATGTGAAGATATTTACGCGGGGGAACAAAGAGTCAATTTCATATATCAATTTTCACTCGTTCAATTGTCCTAAATTTATGTAAAACTAAAGAGTTTTGCAGTGTGTATGTGGATCTTAAAACCTCTTTCAAAGATATGGATAGCAATTTAATTTGAACTCAATGAATTCCAACTCAATAGAGTTGGATTTTTTTAAATTTTAAGTTCATGTCGAATTTAGTTCGGATTTAATGTATGGTGAGGTCTGGTTGGGTCGAGTTCAAGTAGAGGGTGAATAATCTTTTACCCGACCCAACCTAAAGGAAATAGGTCAAGTTTTGATGTTTTGCATGTTTGAGAAGAAGAAGAAGGAGATATCAATGATGAGCTAGATAATTTATTACATTACCGGTCAACAATTCACATAAGCAACCAACGAGTCACTTAAGCAGATAATAGTTCAATTCACCATTTCGTCATTCAAATTAACGATTATTAACACTGAGTGACCAATTGTTACAAATTGATAATGTTAGCGATTTATTTGTTACAAATTGACAATGTTAGTGATCAATTTGTAACTTTTGAAAGTTCAGCAAGAAAAACAAAAACTTACTCAAACTCTAGTGATCATTTGTGTAATTTACCATTTTTTAATTAGATCCTTATTTTATACATAGTTGAATCAGATTTATACTCTAAAATTTAGAGTTGGATAAGGTTCAAATAAAAAATGTGATATTCGAATTGGATTGAATCGAACGATGTGTATATATTTTCTGAGTCGCGTCAATTTAGCCAAAACTCAACCCAACCTAACCCGTTATTACCCCTATTCAAAGGAACAAGGGAAATTAGTAGAATAAATTAGGTTTGTTAGCTTATTTATAATGTTTAAATCTAATAAATTGTGATTAATTCAAAAATTAATTACCATGTAACTTAATTTTTAATAATATTTTATAATATCCAAAGAATTTTTATATTCTTAATATTTTAGAGTTCCCAAAAAAAATCGAATATAGCTTAATTAATATCTTTAGTTCAAATTTGTAAAAAGACAAAAGCGTTAAATACCTAAGAAGAGAGTTTTATATCATTTGTGATCTTAATCAATTTAATAATAATTAATTTCAGCTTAAATCGTTAAACCTATAGACATGTCTCCTTGATATTCAGATTAAAAAAAATCCAATAACTGTCTTTTAGGCATTAGAGGGATTAGTTCGCCTGAATGTATAAATAATAGGGACCTAAACTGTATTTATACCTCAATTTTAATTGCCCGCGACTGTACTCAGAAAAGACAAAAAGAAGAGAAAATGATGGGGATTGAGGCTCAAAAGACGCCCCCATATATTCAAATTTGTCCAAATAAGCACTGAAGATTTTGAATTGGGATCCACCGCCTTTGCCCAAAATACCAAATGAGGAAGGGACCTAAGAGAAAAGCCGCCTCTCTGAAGCAAGAGGAGAACCATAAACCAGCTCCCAAAACTAAGCGTCCTAAGGCCCCCAAGCCTCAGAACGAGCCTGAGTATTTCCAAGATAAGCGTAACTTGGTATTCATTTTCTCTACAAGTTTTCCATTTGTTGTTTAGAGTTTTTTTTTTTTTACTTTACAGTAATAGATACGGGTTTTAAATATTAGGTTTTTTGAGCTCAATTTCATAACGCTGATGACTTTCTTCGTTTCCTACTTAAATTTGAGCTTTTAATTCTGGTAATCCGTGGTTGAATATAAGATTTATTATTCGAGATTTGGCATTCTTATGTGAAGAATAAAGCTTAATGCACGCGGGTTGGAGCTTAAATATTTTTTGTTGAGGTGATTAAATGGGTGGTGTTTTACTTTGTTAAATTTGTTTTTGATGAAAACTGTCGATTTTGCACTTGTGCAGGAAGACTTATGGAAAGCCGCATTTCCTGTTGGAACAGAGGTTGGAATTTTGAGCTTCCATTCGAATGTTAAATATTTGGTTTGTGTTTTTGAGGTGAATTTATGTTCTGTTGCTTATATCGTTTTCCTTTTGTTGTTTGGAAGTGGGATCAACTGGACTCTGTTTACCAATTCAACTGGAACTTTTCGAATCTAGAGGTGAGTTGCAAGAGAGCTTTTTCTTGCCTTCTCATTTCTCATTTTTCTTTTTGGGTTCTGTTTCCTAATTCTGGTCGCTACTTTTGTTTTCCTTGCACCATGCGAAACTTGGTTTAGAGTTAACTGGATATTTTACTGTTCTCTTTCTGGTCAGGATGCATTTGAAGAGGGGGGTAAACTGTATGGAAAGAAAGTTTATCTCTTTGGTTGTACGGAACGTAAGTAGCTCACATCCCTGGTTTTCATACTTTGCACATCTACACGGTCAATTTGCAAAAGCAAATATACTTGTCCTAACCTCCTAGGGTTCTTAATTTGAGCTTAGTTCCTACAAGTTTTTTTCTTGTATCACTATCATGTATTTTGAACTTCTTCCAACCCTTCTTTTTGTTCAACAATTGCACACGATCAATTTTAATTATTTTCTATTTGTGTAGCTCAATTGGTCCCTTACAACGGAGAAAACAAAGTCATCTGTATACCTGTGATTGTGGCTGTAAGTTGTCTAAATTTGTTAAGAAATGCTTTTAATGCTTGTTATGCTAAGGGATGTTTCTTTCTTCATCTTGAGATTAGTGCGCAGAGTGATAATAGCATCTTTGACCATCTTTTATGTGAAAGGCTTATTCTACAGTATCTTTATGTGGCTCTGAAGTAATTTATTTACATTGCTGATTTCATTTTGACATTTTCCTCCGATTGCTCAGTGTAGCTGTTTCATAAAGTGCTGTAGGTTATGCGATGGCTCTATAGTTAGAAGTCTAACATAATTCTAACTCTTAGAAGGTTAGATAGATAAGGATTACTAATAAATAGTTTATTTCTATTAGAATACTTACCCTAACTACTTGTATAAAACAATACGTACTTACCTCTATGAATACACAAATGAATATTTTTTCATTCATCTTTTTTTCCAATTACCTTTATCAACATGGTATCAATTAGGTGAACAATCCTTCTCCCTAACCCTAATTGATCGTTCTTTCTCATAACCCTAGCCACCGACCATGACTTCTACCTCATCTACATCGGATGTCACCTCGGAAGCCATCCTAAATTCATCCAATTCAAACATCACCGATGTTTCTTCCGCCTCTATCACCTGTCACCGATTGAATGTTGACAATTATATCTCTTGGTTCTAATCTGTCAGTCTCCATGTTACCGGTTGGCGCAAGCAACACTATCTCTTGGAGACCACACCAATTCCTGTTGTAACGGATCTTGATTATTTGACTTGGCTTACTGAGAATACTATGATTATGTCATGGCTCATCAATTCCATGATTTCTGCTGTGTGGGAAAATTTTCTGCTATACGAAACAACTGTTGAAATTTGGAGTGCTGCAAAGGCGACATATTCGAATATGGAAAATTCAGTTGCCCTATTTGGGATTGAGTGTCAACTTGCTAACCTCAAACAAGACAACATGACCGTTACTCAATATTTTACACAAATTTCGTGTTTATGGCAACAACTTGATTTGTTCGAATCCCATGAATGGCGGTGTGTTGATGATGCCCGATTATTCAAAACGATTACTGAACAGCGTCGGATATTCCAGTTTTTGTCTAGCTTGCATCGAGATCTTGATGGTGTTCTTGGACGAGTATTGGGCCTCAAGCCTCTTCCTTCCATTCGAGAAGTTTTCTTTAAAGTACGACGCGTAGAAAGTCGACGAACAGTTATGCTTCCTGATTAACAGCCTGTTGAAGGATCTGTGTTGCTCACTCACTCCCAAACTACTACTCGACCAAAAAAGGGAAGACCTTGGTGTAACTACTGTAAGAAAGTTGGCCATGTGCGGGATTCTTGTTGTAAGTTACATGGCAAGCCTACTGATGGGAAGTCTTCTAAACAGCATCACCTGCGTGATACTCAAGGGAATTGTGTTGTAAATACTGGTTTGCAGGGGAGTTCGTTTACATAAAACAAATGGAAGAGTTACAACGGTTTTTAAGTCAGTTAAATCCACATTTTCAATATGCGCTTGCGACTTTCTCTCTTGAAGGTAGAATTTCTTCTGCTACTTTGGCTAAATCCAACACTCGTACTTGGATTGTGGATTATAGTACAAGTGACCATAAAACAGGTGATCTTCGGCTCTTTCATATTTTCCATGCCGAGTCGTTTTTCTCCATGTCCGAACAACAGATGGTTCTCTTTCTGGTGTTGCCTACCATGGGTCTATTTAAATAAATTTGAACATTTTTTTATCTAGTGTTCTTTATGTTCCCAATCTCACTTGCAATCTTCTTTCCATTAGCAAGTTATCTGCCTAATTATGTTGTAAAACGAAATTTAACTCTGATTTTTGTGAATTTCAGGATTCGAGCTCGGGGAAAGTGATTGGTAGTGCTAGACTTTGTGGGGGTCTTTACCTGCTTCCGGCTACCTTATTTTCCCAACCTCATGCTTCCTTAAATGTTATACCGCAATTTCCTTTGTTTGAACATTCAACTGATGTTATGTTATTGCATTTTCGCTTAGGCACCTCAGTTTCTTTTATCTTGCCAAGTTGTTTCCACATTTATTTATCAATAAATGGTAAAGGATGTGACAGCGGATGATGATAATGATGATTGATAGGTAGTTGTCCTACGAACCCTCCTAGTCGCAATTGACTAGGCAAATTCGATAATCGGCTCTAACCAGCCCTCCTAATCGCAATGAGAAGGCAAATCGGTGTGTGAAGATCTCTCTTATAAAGAACTTGAAAGAACTTAATGAAAAGAATACTTCGAAGGTACAAAACAATCAACACTTGTAAAAACAAACTCTCGTTGTATTATTAATAAAAGAAATATGCCTTTTCAAAGTTGAATGAAGCCTCCTTTATATAGGCGAGGAGTCCTTGTTGTAACATGACTAATGAATAAAGATAATGTTTCGATTATATCCTAATTCCTAATAAAATAATAATAAACTAAGAATATTGAAAATCTTATTTCCTAATAAAATAATAAATCTAATCTTAAAAGATAATGCATTATCTTATATTAAATTATATTACAAATAATCAATAAAAATATTAAAAATTTGTAATATTTATGAAATCCCGTATAGGAATTTCTGCATGTGTTATCTTCAATAAAATCGATGTACCTTGAGTTTCGATATCGGATTGATGCGATTTAAAAACCGTTGGAAAGCTAAGAGACAGTCGGTCATATCCCTAGAATAAATGTTGATTGAATAAGATCAGGATCCCATTCGAAAAGTAGTCGCAAGTCTGTTGTTCTTTTATTGTTTTTTTCCAAGGCTTGTTCGTGTAGATCAATTGGAAGTGTTAGTTTATCTTCCTTTAATACGAGCATTGTGATGCATGTATCAATAAAAGTCCTAAATCTTTTTTTTGTGTGAAATTTGCTCTCTTGATAAACAAACTAAGAGTGTTTACCTCTCTTCTCCATACAAACCGTCCAAACCATTTATTATGATCCATAGTGATATTTGGGGACCATCTCGGGTCATATCTTTACATGGGTTTCGGTAGTTTATTTCATTTATTGATGATCACACTAGTACAACTTGGACCTTTCTCATGAAAATTACATCCGAAGCCTGTGAAATATTTAAATAGTTCCATAAGATGGTTGAAACCCAATTGCAATGTTCTATCTAAATGTTTTATTTTGACAATGGTAGCGAGTTTTTTTATCAATGTTTTGGGTTCTTTCTTTTAGGAAAATGAGATTATTCATCTCACTTCACGTGTCAATTCTCCTCAACAAATGGGATTAATGAGTGAAAAAATAAACATTTTCTTGAGGTTACTCAATCTCTTCTCTTTTCTACAAATGTTCCTCACCATTTTGGGGGGAAGCCTTTTTAACTGCCACTTATTTAATTAATCGTTTCCCTGGTAAACCGTTACAATTTAAATGCTGAGGGAAGTTTTCTTCAGTTTTTTCCTAATTTTAAACCGATGACTTCCTCATTATCCCATTAGAATCTTTGGATGTACAACGTTTGTTCATAATAATGTTCTTTCCAGGCTCAAATTAGATCTTCAAGCATTTCGGTGTGTGTTTCTGGGTTATTTTTCGAGTCAAAAAGGCTTTCGGTGTTATTATCCACGTACTAAGAAATTCTTTGTCATCATGGATGTTACCTTCTTTGAAAAGTCACATTTTTCCTTAAAACTGCTATTTAGGAGGAGACATATAATGAATATCAGGTTGGTGACTCACAAAAATTGTTATTTGAATTGTAGCCAGCTCTTTTTGACCAACCAGCATTGCCGAAACAACCAAATCAGTCCAAACAATCCTCAAAATCATTTTAGTCTGACCAAACAACACTGTCGAACTAGCCCTTAAAATCACTCCAGTCGGACCAAACAACACAGTCAAACCAGTCCACAAAATCGCTCCAGCCAGACCGAACGACACTGCCAAACCTAGAATTTTTTTTTGCCAAACTAGCCCACCGAAACACCTAACCCGAATTGCTTATTTACAAGAGACGACAAATACCAATTTTCAAATCCATTCCAAAACCTAATCCCGAACCTCCCACATAGCATGAACACTATCATGAATCAGAATCGGACGTGAATCCTTTAGAGAAAGGAGGTAAATCAAAGTTCTTCCATTGAGTTAAATGCTTTAATTGATAATAGTGACTTGTCGATTGCTCAAAGGAAAGGAGTAAGAAAATGCAGAAATTATCCAATTGATAAATTTGTTGCATATGGAAAGCTAATGCCTCATTTTAAGAATTTTACAACCAGTATAGATAGTATTCCTGTTCCAGATACGGTGGAAGAAGCATTGAAAGATCATAAGTGGAAAAAGGCGGTAGAAGAGAGATTGAGAGCACTGAAAAACAACAATACTTGGATTATAGTTGATCTTCCAAAAGACAAGAAACTAGTCGGCTGCAAATGGGTTTTCACGGTAAAATATAAAGCTGATGTGAGCGTTGAAAGATACAAGGTGAGATTAGTAGCGAAAGGCTTTACTCAGTCCTTTGAAGTTGATTATCAAGAAACGTTTGCTCTGGTAGCTGAACTAAATACTGTGAGAGTATTACTGTCGTTGACGGTCAATGAGAATTGGGTGCTTCATCAATTGGACATCAAAAATGCCTTTCTAAACTGAAATTTGGAGGAGGAAGTATGCATGCGAATTCCACTTGGTGTGAAGAGTAATACAAGAAAAGCGTGTAGTTTAATAAAGTCCTTGTATGGGCTTAAGCAATCTCCCAGAGCATGGTTTGACAGATTTAAAAAGGCGATTATTCAAGATGGTTACAAGTAATGTCAATTGGATCACACCTTATTTTTCAAAACGGCTTCGAACAACAAAAAGACAATTTTGATTGTCTATGTGGATGATATCATTCTAACAGGTGATAATACTATGGAGATAAAAAGATAAAAAGGCTACTTGCGAGGGAATTTGAAACTAAAGACTTGGGCACTTTATGGTATTTTTTAGGCATCGAGGTTGCAAGGTCGAAAGAGGGAATAGTGATCAATCAAAGGAAACACATTCTTGATCTACTATCAGAAATTGGAACGAAGGGATGCAAGCCGACAGAAACTCCCATGGAAGCAAATCTTAAGTTAAGAAGAGAAGAATTGGAAAATCACGTGAACAAAGAACAATATCAAAGGCTAGTAGGTAAACTCATTTACTTATCACTTACTAGACCTGATATTGTGTTTTTTGTCAGTATAGTGAGCCAATATATGAATGATCCGAGGGAAGAGCATTTAGAAGCGATGAATAGAATTCTAAGATACTTGAAAATGACACCAGGACATGGATTGATTTTTAGGAAAAGCGACGATAGAACAATAAGAATTTTTTCAGATTCAAGTTGGGAAGGTGAATTAAGAATCAATTAGTGGATATTCTTACCAAGGCACTTCCAAGAATTACCTTTGATGAGATTACATCCAAGTTGAGTATTTTCAACATTTACTCCCCAGCTTGAGGGGAGGGTAGGTTATGCGATAGTTGTATATTTAGAAGTCTAACATAATTCTAACTCTTAGAATGTTAGATAGATAATGATTACTAATATATAGTTTATTTCTATTAGAATACTTACCCTAACTACTTATATAAAACAGTACGTACTTACCTCTATGAATGCACGACTGAATTTTTTTTTCATTCATTTTTTTTGCCGATTACCTTTATCAACGTTCATTCCTCTTTTTTGCCGGTTGCCTTGGATAAATTGGTTTCTTTACTTCTCCTTTATAGGTGTGAATGTGATACTGTTACACAGAATTTTGATGACCGTCTAAAAATTCATTGTTACAACTATTTCCCATATATTTTATTCAGTGCTACAAGATTTTCTACAGATTAAAATTTAACAAGTCTGCATCTTTTTTGCTTTTTCTGATTTATTATTTTCAATGATTGTAATGAAATTATTGATCTTTTATGTGACTGATTTATTGAAATAGTTCTTTCACCATGATCTGGGTGTATCTTTTCAGGTTGAGTCTCCTTTCCCACCTTCAGATAAGATTGGTATTAACTCAGTGCAGAGAGAAGCTGAAGAGATTGTTCCTATGAAACAAATGAAAATGGACTGGGTTCCATATATTCCACTTGAGAATAGGTGCCCAATTTTGATCTTCTGTATCCTTTTCTTTTATCATATACAAAGCAAACTTGTATTTATTTGATTTATCTATACCAAGATACTAAATGAAATTTTATCTATTTTTCTTCTTATTAAGCCTGTGTTTGAATTGATCAAAATAAGCTTTTGTAGTGATTGTGTATTTTGATTCTTCCACAGAGACAACCAAGTTGATAGGCTGAAATCTCATCAAATATTCATCTTAAGCTGCACTCAGAGACGGTATAATTTGCACACCAACACTTACACCCCTCTTTATTTTTGTTTCTTTTGCATGCAATTTTCAACTACATCCAGTTAAATTATCTTTATTTGATCTGCTTCTTGTTTGAGATTGTTTGAGATTATCTATAAAAAACATTGCCTTGTATATATTTTTGTAGTAAACCCTTGGGTGATTTGGTTAATCTGAAAGAAAAAACAGGAATAGTGGAGATCTATCAGCAATAGTTTCAGGAAACATTGGCAAGAGCCAGTTATATTGTTTGGCCTGATCAACGTGTTGGGTATGGTGTTCTGATGCAACCACCCTCCCAATTTAGCCATGGCTTTGAACCTTGCTAGGGCCTTTGAACAGAAGCATCAAATACTTTATGAAGTCAACAATACGTTAAAAGTTACCATTGAAGCAAGTTTGGTAAATTAATCTACTCATTTCTTAAAAAAATTAGCACAGGTCAGAGATGGCTGAGAGAAGCAAAGGGCTTGTGTTATTATTCTGATGAACCATATATGGTTCTACATCAATGTAAGAAGCTCTTTTGGTTGGAATTAGCCAATCAAGATGGTGTAGAACTAGAAACAGTGACTGAACCAGGTAGATTATATCGTGAAGTATTGTGATTTCGAGCTAGAGGACAAGCTCTTTTCTGGGAGGGAGTATTGTTGTGTACGCGAGACTCCTATTATATTCTTTTCTTTTATTAGTCTTTTTATTTATTATTATTATTTATTAGGACAAGTTAGGATAGAAGTTTTATATTTAGTAGGATCTTATTTACTTTCTTTCTTTCGTTATTGTAATCTCTATTTAAAGAGACTTGTGGAATAATAAAATTAAGCAGAGTTTTATCAAAACCCTAAAAAGATATTGGTCTCTCTTTTAACGAGTCATGAGGTTTCAGTCTTCCTTAAACGAGTTGAGTTATCAATCACCATTGGTCGTTCCAAGAATAGCAATAAAGGAAAAGCAATCACTTCCAATGTTCTTGTTAATTGACCAGTGACACAATCACAAACAAGGGACCACAACAAACACACGGAAACATATGATGCTTTACATCAGTTAAGTTAGAGCATTCTTTAGGCTTTTGAGCTTCAGGCAAGATTGGGTGTTTAAGCGCCTGGATTGCACCTTTCCTTGACAACATTGGAGTTTAGTCAACCATTTGATAGTTTAAACAATGCTTAGATTTGTCTTGTATAGATTGTAATTGATTATTTCAATGCAAGCATATGGACTTCAAAGTTCTCTATATTATTTTATCTATTCTCTCCTGAGTGTGGGTCTGTATATGTGTCTGTTGAATGCATGCTTGCACTTCGATTTAACTTTTTTGTATTTGATATTCTTTCTGCAGGGTTGCTTTGAAACAAATGTGTAGATGCTCGATTTCATCGGGGACTGCATCGGAGGCTTCGTATCCAGTACACGATACAAATTTGGACCAGTATGAGCCCAAATCAGCCCAATAGATAACAATTACAAGCAGAGAAAAAATAGAAAAGTTAACGTTGGTTTTTGACAGTTTTGTAAGTGGGGAGGGATATCAGCAATTGAACACCACAACGAAGAGAGGACAAAGGCAGAAGAGAAAAAAAAGAAAAAAACGATCTGGAGAAACAAGAGAGTATACTATTAATCCACTCCCGGACATTCAAAATAAAGGGCAAATTGAAAGGGGTTCTTCCCCATTTTTTGAAAGAGAACGAAGCAAAAGAAACAAAAAAGGACCATTCGAGTGAAGGGAATGAGAGATACATTGTAAAAACAGGGGTTTCCCCTTCGTTCTTGTAAGCAGAGAGTTCGAAAATAAATAGAAAAGAAGCAGTTTCTTCTTCCTGGTACATTCGTTTTTTCAGCAATACAATCAATACATAACAGAGCTTTTTTAAGGTACATAATACTTCTTTGTTCCTCTTTCTTTCTTGCAATCGAAAAGCATAGATAGATAGGGAGTTGAGTTTTTACCTTAACGATGCAAGCTCTTATGGCTGGAGCGGTAGACATGGTTGTTTCTTAAATTAGTGATCAAAACAATAAGCGAGTAGTAAACATAACAACCCAAAAAGAAAAATCCATCAAAACCCAAGAGAAAATATAAAGGAAAAAAGGGGAAAATCTAAGGGAAATCTTACCTCTTCTGCGATAACAGCCTTTGTGCCTTCATCGAAGGAAGTAAACGTCTTCAACAGTCGAAGGTAACGCTCTTATAGTATCTCGGTTGGGGTTGTTTGGGTTTGTAGAATCTGTGTTTATTTGTGGGTTGTAAGGCCCAAAGAGGGATGTTTAGAGACTACGTTTGAAATGGAGTTGTATAGTAGTCACTCGGCTCCTCGTCGGAGCCGGAGAGTGACGAGGAAGGGCTATGAGTGGCTTTCTCGTTTAAGAAAAAGAAAGAGAGTGAGATGAAGAACTTGAGTGACTGAAAGTTGAGGACGGAAGAAAAAACAGGGTTGTTTAGGATTCCTGTAGAGCTTTTAGTGGTCGGAGTGGAGTGGAGTGTAGTAACCACCGGGGAGTCGATGTCATGAGTGTGAAAACCTTGAACTTTTCGGCTGTGCAAATGAAAAGGAGAGTGACGAGGAAAGCCTGAGCAGCAGCGGAGAAGGAGAGTTAACGTAATGGGATATTAGGGTTAAAATCAAGTTTAAACCATGTTTGTTAAAGCCAAAACGTTTCTGATTTTAGCAAATATAGGCCAAGAGTTGTTTTCTTTTGTTATTGGGCTTATTAAGTGAGGGATCAATTCAATTTTGAGGTTAATGCAAGTTGATTCTCAGTTTGAGGTCTTTCTAATTTTTGATTTAGTTTCTTTATTTTACATGCATTTTAATCTCGTAAGTGTATTTATTTCATTTGTTTGTCATTTAGCATGGTGGTCTATTTTAAATACGTATACATACAGAAATATATGCATGGGTTTGTTTGTGCTTAAATTATTTAGATACATATTATATGTATGTATAAATGCATTTGTTTTTAAAATCTTGTGAACTATGAATAGTGGGATATATATGAGCATTGGTATGTTAACATATATTTTGCACATAATTTTGGGATGTATGTTTACATGCATGTACGTACTTTGCCTTTTTTTTATTTTTTTATTTATTTAGTATTGGTAGTATTTATATAATGTATTCTTGTTGTTTTTCAAATATCTTTATTATTTTAATTGGTGTAAAACCATGTAGATTTAATTGCATGTATCTTTAATTTCCGGTGTATGAAACCTCATTTGCATAACTCGACATAATACATAATTAGACTAAGGGTAATATGCTTTTAATTTAAAATTGTTTTAAGTGGATAGTCATAACTGATTTGAGGTCCGCTTTTAATGATTTTAAATTAAAAGTGTATCCCGAAAGTGACGCCTAAAAATTGATCCATCAATCTAAAATTTGGGAACGAAAGAAAAGGGAATGTTCGTTTATTTAAATTTATCGAGAAAAGGTTGTTATAACTTTTAAGATCTGGTATCGATATTTATAAATAATCGAACATTCTTTATCTTTCTAAAACGACTCGGTAATTTCAATTTAATTTATTTGAGTGCTTTTGAATATTTTAAATTTAAATTTTTGTTTTATGATATAAAAAATCAAATTAAATTAGAATTTGTAAAATTCATTGCAAAGACATTAATTAACCGACTAGGTGCCGTTTTAGGGCGTTGTGGGGGTGCTAATCCTTTCCCGCACGTAACCGACTCCCGAACTTGGATTTTGGTAACGCATACCTTAATTTGTCGTTTTAATTAAAATTAATTTTTATTTAAAATAACAAAACATTTTTGGGTGCCCAATCACACCCTAATCAAAGATTGGTGGCGACTCTTTGAACAATATTTTTTTTAACGTAAAGAGAATTTCAAAATTTTCGAAACGAGAGGTTTTTAAATCGCATTTATTTTTAAATTAAAAATCAATTGAAAGAGATAAGTTAAAATTGACGTGGTTTTCAAAATCTCCCCTTTTTACCCTAAAAGAAAAAATCGTCTCAACAGCTTGGCGACTCCGCTGGGGAATTTTTTAGAGAGTCAGGCCGATAGTCGATTAATTAAGTTTCTTTGCAATTGAAAGTTATTTTGGGTTTTTATCCCTTGTTTAGTTTTTAATAAGTTTTGTTTGTATTTTGATTTAATTCGATTAACAATTAAATAGTTGTACTGATCCGTTTGCTAATGGTTTCAGATTATTTGCTAATGTTTTTTCGCTTTTCCTCACACACTGCATAGTTGCATTTTCATGACATGAGCTAAAACCCCGCTCTATCCTAATTAAGTAGGAGTGAGAGACTATGCCCTCGTGTGGTTTTCACCTCCGCATGGGATAGTGGATCGCTCCTGGAGCTCACGCCTTATGGTCCTCGTGATGGTATTCACCTCCGCATGGACATAAGGAAGTGTGTTCCCTCGAAATTGAACTCGATCCCCTAAAGCCTGTGATGGGCCAGGATTGAGGGTTCGGCAGCCCAAGGGGGCACCGGTAAGGACAATTTGAGAACCTATTACTTTAGAACCGAACCAAGCATATAGTGAACATAGAGCCCAAACTTAGGTCGAGCCAAACCCGAACCTTAAGAGTCCCGTGAGGAGGGTACACAAGGAAAAGCTTTTTGAGTCATTCATTTTCGTTTTTTTCGAATAAATGCATGTGAACTAGATATCATGCGTTTAGGTTTATTTGTCAAGCAAGCATGCGAATTAGATATCATGAGGTTAGGGTTTTAATGTTCAAACAAAGTATGGGGGTAGATATCATGTTGGGTAGGATCTATTAAAGCATGATTGGGTAGCCAACATGTGAGGGTAGGTTTTATTTGATGTTTATGGTACTTATTTTGTTGTTTATATTATGTGCACTAACCCATTTTTGTTCTATGTCTATTTTATTTTGATTTTATTGCATTCACATCTTCATGTCATCACAAGGTGTTAATTCACAAGTGATTGACTAATAAGAAGGCTGGTCATAATGAGACAAGAAATTCTTAACCATGTAATCAAAATCTGGAGATCCAGAGGAATTCAGATGATTCATGAAGAAGAATATTTGACGAATGAATAAATTTGAACCTGACTAAAGAACGATTCATGAAGAAAGACATCCGATGAATGAAGAAATTTGAAACTGATTGAAGACCGATTCACAAAGAAAAACATCATGAAGATGTTCCCTCAGGAGATAGATGCAGTAATGCCAAGGACGAGAAGACCCTTCACAAAGACGTGAAGAGCACTTTCCATTGAAAGTGGAGATGGAGATCCCAAGATTCAATTCAAGGACAACCATTTCATCAAATGTGATAAAATACGCCGACCATTTTGGAGATGCAATGCCAGATTCCATGAAGAGCACGGTTCAAGGAAATGAAGAATCACAATTTTATTTTGATTACATGGTGTAATGAATTCTTGTTGTCTAAATGAAGGTTGTTCTATAGTGGTCACTTTTGGGATTAACACCTTTTGCATTTGCATTTTGCATCCACATTTGCATTCGCATCGCTTTAATTTAAGCACTTTTACACGCATCAATCATGAAAACGTGAGAGTAACTTGTGAAGGATACTATGACAGAAGCTCTGAAATTAAATTGAAGTTACCCTGAGACGTGTTTCTGGAAAGATAGACAACAATGAATGAGATCTTAGCACGAGTTAGTAAGATCGAGAGAATTCAAGAACAGCTCGTAAGGACCCAACAAGAAATGATTGATGAAGCAAGGAAGTTCCAAGTTGAATTCATGGGACAGATGTCCAAGTTGATGAGCATGATGATTACAGTGATATATGGGGAGAAATCATCAGATGACCCTATTACACAAGAAAATATGAAGACTTCGGGTGAGAATCTAAATGTTAGTGGTGCAACCAATGTGATGATAGCAAATGATCAAGAACAGATGAAGACTTCGGGTGAGAATCTGAATGTTAGTGGTGCAACCAATGTGATGATAGCAACTGATCAAGAACCTGTTAGGGGATGTGGTAATTCAAGTCAACTCCAAAAATCAAGTAAGATTCCAGAAGATGCTACGAAGATCATACTGGGAAAAGCAGAAGTTAAGGGTGAAACTTCTAATATGAAAGTGAAGCCGGACTCAAAGAAAAGAGGCATAGAGGAGGCTCAAATGCCAGTAAAGAAGGCCAAAAAGAATAGAAAAAGAAGAAGATGACACCTCTGATTCCGATTCCGATCTCATATTCAGACTTGTTACCCTTTCTCTTTGAAAGTGGGCTTCTAAAGCCTTTTCCTCCGAGGTACAATACTTATTTGCGTCCAGACTGGCAAGGTGTCAAGAAATCATGCGGTTATCATTCTCATGAGTTTAGCCACTCTACAGAAGATTGTACGATCCTGAGATTTAAAGTTCAAAACTTCATCACGGAAGGGTTGTTATGCTTTGAAAATGGAAAACCTAAGCTCCCCGGAAGCTCAAAACTTATCGATGAAGGGAGATTTGTA